CCTGGAGCAGACACCCTGAATTTAGACTTGTAGCCTACTGGACTGTGAGAGAATAAACTTCTCTTTGTTAAAGCCATCCACTTGTGGTATTTCTGTTGGAGCAGCACTAGATGACTAAGACGGTACCATTCTATTTTTTCTGTTTCTGGACATTTTCTCTCAAGGTGCAAAGTTAGCATTAATTACAGCAGTGGGCAATGTGATTGTGAATGTAGCAGTGAAAGATTGAATATTACTTTTCTTGTAACATCAATTGTACCAGGCACAGTTTCAGCCAGAGCCATAAGAATCTATCTGTCTGTCTGTCTATCTGTCTATCCATTTAACTGTCTATCCATCCGCCCATCCATCCATCCATCCATCCATCCACCAACCCACCCACCCATCCATCCATCCATCCATCCATCCATCCATCCACCCACCCATCCATCCATCCATCCATCCATCCACCCATCCATCCATCCATCCATCCATCCACCAACCCACCCACCCATCCATCCATCCATCCATCCATCCATCCACCCATCCACCCATCCACCCTTCCATCCATCCACCCACCCATCCACTCTTCCATCCATCCATCCATCTATCCATCATCCATCCACCCATCCATCTAACCATAAGCCAACCATCCATTCATCCTTCCATCCAATCCATCCATCCATCAATCCATCCATCCATCCACCCATCCACCCATAGCAACAACCAGGGGCAGAGCTTGGCTGGAAGGTGTAGGCCCTGTTGCGGGAGTCAGGAAGAGGGAGGCACTATTTCTACCTGTGGAAAATTCTAGGAAGGCTGCCTAGAGAAAATGACATTTGATTCAGGCCTTTAAGTATAGGTGGTTTATCATGTTGTTAACAAGAAGGAGGAAGGAATGCGTACCTTTCCTTAACATGCTCCATAATTTTAGGTGGAACATATACGAGCATTTAAAATTTTAGTAGTTATCTATCAACTTAATGTGTCCTATAAAATTTTTAACTAGTTCCTCAAACCCATGATCCCTGGGATAGCATTGCCAAAGCTGTGGCAGTGCAAGGGGCAGGGAGGGCATCTGGCCCCTGCCTCCGGTGATCCCCCAGTTTGGGGTCCGGCCATCAGGGCTGAGTCTTCTCCTTCATCCCCAGCCCCTGGGGAGCCCTTTCTCTGGCCATGGTGGGACATAAGACATCTCCCGACCTGCCCAATGGGGCGAGAATGTGGGGAAAGTGCCCAGCAAGAGGTCTGCCCCGTGGAGGTCCCACAGGCCCTCCCTCCAGGCGCCCGAGTCTCCGGGCCGGCTGGTGGAGATGTCTGGAATGTGGGAGGGGGCGAGCAGGCACGAGGGGCTGCCAGAGCCTAGTGTCCAGGCTGCTTGGATTACAAACTTGGCTGCATCTTCGGAACACAGGGAGAGGAAGCCTTGAACATTCCTACAGGGGCCCCTCTGGCTGGGGAACAGCCGCTTGTGGTTTCTCAGTATGCGGCAGTGATTAGAATGGGATTTGTCTGAAAACATACAAGTCCCTTAATGAGCGTGTTGAAATGGACACTTTAGGGGTGAGTCAAGTAAGAGTGGGGTCGGGGCCTTCCCAGGAAGGCCCAGCTGGAGACGCCTGGGCTTCATTTTTGGATGAGATTGCTCAGGTCAAGTTGTTGGCTTCCAAATGGGCCTCCTGCCTGGCCTCAGGAGGGACCCTGAGGAGCCACACCTGCTCTGTCCTCACCTAAGCAGGTGCTGGAGGAGTTGGAGTTCTCCCTGGTGTTGGTATCGGAGGGGCTGGTGTTCCCGGTGTGGCTGGTGCAATTCCTGGGATTGGAGACATTGCAGGTAGTGTCCCTTCCCGCGGCGGGAGTAGAGGCATCCTTGAGAGGGCTGCAGGGATGGTCCTCACCTTCTGTGCTGTCTCCCCAGGGCCAGGGACTCCCGCTGCTGCTGCTGCTGCTGCTGCTGCTGCAAAGGCAGCTGCCAAGGCAGCCAAGTACGGTGAGTTCTCCCAGGGGCCCCCATCCTGTGAGGCGGCAGGGCTTTGCCCTCATCCCTCTGTGGCAGCTTCCCTGGGGCCTCCCCCTCATCCCTCTGTGACAGCTTCCCTACAAGCCTCTTCCTCATCCCTCTGTAGCAGCTTCCCTACAGCCTCCCCACAGACTGAATCGATCAGCCAGAGGCCCTTATGCTGGTCTGCCCCCCTATTCATGCCATCCCACTCATCTCTCTGTGGAGTACCTGGTTCCTCCCACTCACCCCCTGGGGCAGACCCACTGCCTGGGTGCCCCCTTCAGCCCGAGTTGTGACATTGCTCTAGAGATAGCTCTTGTTCTTCCCACCCTCAAGCCCTCAGAGCTCTTCAGGGACTCCCTCAGTCCTTCCCCACCTCCACTGGGCCCGGGCAGAGCCTGTACTCAGGACCTGTCACTCCCGCAGCACTCCAGAACCCCTGCCCTTGGAGGTCATTGAGGTCCCCACAGGGCCAGGCCAGGAGAACAATTCTTTTTCTTCCACAGGAGCTGCTGGAGGCTTAGTACCTGGTGTTGGAGTCCCAGGTGTTGGAGTCCCAGGTGTTGGAGTTCCAGGTGTTGGGGTTCCAGGTGTTGGAGTCCCAGGTGTTGGAGTCCCAGGTGTTGGAGTCCCAGGTGTTGGGGTCCCAGGTGTTGGGGTCCCAGGTGTTGGGGTTCCAGGCATCATAGGAGGACCAGGTGAGTTCGGTTTTCTATGTGTGTGTAAGAGAGAACTATTGAAACTGTCGCCAAAGCCTTTGGATTCTTTCTGATACCTCACCCATCTGTCTTCTTCTTTCCATACTCTTGGCCATGCCACATCCTCTATCCCTTGGGCTGTAACAACCTCCTAATTGGCTACTGCCAGTATCATCTTCTCCAATTCACCTTCTGCCTGTCAGTATGCTCGCAGGTGCAAGAAACATGTCTTTTTCATCTCTATGTTCCCAGCCCTTAGCTGAGCAGGTGCTCAATAAATGGTGAATAGATTGGTAGGTAGCTGGATGGATGGGTAGAAGGATGGACAGATGAACAACTGGGTGGGTAGGTGAGTGGCCATATGATGAATGAATGGGTAGGTGGGTAGATGAATGGAAAGATAGAAGGACGGACAGATATATGGCTGGATAGACAGATAAGTAAAAAGATGGATGGATAGATGAATGGACTTACAGAAAGACAAATGGATAGGCAGATAGGGGAGCTAGATAACTGGTTAAAAGATGGAAGGATGGGTGGATAATTGGATAGGATGATGGATGGATACACACTGGTTAGATGAGCAGATGAATAGATGGCTGGATAGGAGGGTAGGCAAATGCACAAAAGACGTTTGGAGAAATGGTTGGATGAATAGATAGGCACATGGGTGAGTAAGTGGCTGGATAGGTGGGTGAATGGATGGACAGAGAGGTAGGTGGTTGGTGGGTGGATTGAGGTTCAAGGATAGCCGGACAGATGGGTGGGTCAGTGGGTGGATAAATGAGTAGTTGGGCAGAGAGATAGATAGAGATATGAGTGAGCAAATGAATGAATGAACAACTCCATGTTGACTTGATATAAAGAATGTGGACTGGCAGACAGATGGGTGGACAAAGGTATATATATTGGGCATCCCTTCTCCATTCTCTCCTGAGCGTTTATGTCCCCCTTGATCTCTCCAGGAGCCGTGTCACCAGCCGCAGCCGCTAAAGCAGCCGCCAAAGCAGCCAAATACGGTGAGTGCTGTGCTGATGCTCTGCCCCACCCTGTCCCAGCCTTTACTTGTCAGAATTAAAGAACCCCCAGAAATCTTCCACTCCCCTATTGTATACCCCAGAAAAAGGGAGTGACTTGCCCAGGGTCACATGGTAAGACACCAGCAGAACTGGGGCTTGGACCTGGTGGGCCCAGGATGATGTCTCCCCAGCTGTCTGCCAGCACTGGCCATGGAGCTGAGTGATGGGCAACCAGGCTGGTAGTGCCCTGGCCCTCCCTGCTCTGGCCAGGGTCCTCTCAGAGGAACCCAGGTCTAGCGGGGAATATGAGACAGCCCGCCCACAGTCTCTCCACATCCAACAGAACACTCAGAAAAGAGAGGGGCAGGGAGGGGGCCTGCGGGTGTCAGTAAGGCTTGTGGAGGAGGCTTGTGGGGGCCCAGGGATTTCGTGGCCAGACTCGGGGGAGGCTGGCCTGAGGCCTTTGCCCTCTCTCCCAGCCTCTCCCACTGAGGTCATTTTCCACCTGATTCCCTTCCTGCTGCAGGGGCCAGAGGTGGAGTCGGAGTAGCAGGCATCCCCACTTTCGGGGTTGGTCCTGGGGGCTTCCCTGGCTTCGGTGTCGGAGTCGGAGCTGGAGCTGTCCCTGGAGCTGGCCTCATCCGTGAGTTCCATCTGGGGAAAGCTGTTATGAGTCAGTGGGCTTCTCTCCTGTGCGGCTATGCAGGGGCACAGGGGAGTGCAGATTGGGCTTTACTGTGCTGGAGGCAAGGGGCCCAGAGGAGCTGGGGTTTCTGAGGGTCTCTTTTTGTCTCAATTCCTCTTAGCTGCAGCCCAGGCAGCAGCTGCCGCAAAAGCCGCCAAGTATGGTGAGCATCCCAGCCTGGCCTGTCCCCAAGCCCAGAATGGCGCCCTCCCCTCCTCCCCTCCCCATGGAGCCCAGGCTCCAGGCTCAGAGCAATCCTCAGCAGAAGGGCAGAGCAAGCACCCACCCAAGCCTCCAGGGGCAAAAACTGCGAGTCCCTGGCCCCAGCTTCCTCAGCCACACTTAACTTTCTCGCCAGGTGCCCACTGTTAGGGTTACCAGTGCTCCTGCTTACTCCCTCTACCCCAAACCAGAGAGTCCAAGGTTCTGTTCCTCCCCACCTCCCACCCCGCAGGAGCTGGGCACTGGGAGGGACAGGCTAGAATGTTCCTCACTCCCCAGGTGCCGGAGGAGTGGGGGTCCTGGGAGGCCTGGTGCCAGGGGTCGGAGGTGTCATCCCAGGAGTGCCGGGCGCTGCAAGGGTGCCAGGTGAGCATGGTCCTGGCCCAGAGACAGGCTGAGCTTGCTTCATGGGAGGGTCCCTGGAGTTGACTGAGGTCAGTTGTGTCATTTTACAGATGGGAAGACTGAGCCCAGAGACAGGGAGGAAGGAAAGCAATTTCCTCTGCAGTGGTTTGGAGGACAGCCCTCTGTGGGGTTCTAGTTACTGGGTGAACTCAGCAAAGTCCCGGCCCCCAGTGGGGAAACGGGCATTGCTGGCTGAGCATCAGAGCTGTGCTCCGCAGGGGCAGGGGTCTCAGCCCCTTGCGGGAGCTTCCTGGCTCCTCTTCAGCTGGCAGGACCTCTGTCCCCCTTGATTTCCCTGTGCCCCTCTCCTCCACCAGAGGCCAAAGGGAAGATACTAGGTTACAAGGAGATTAAGTTACAACCTTGCTTGGTAGTATTTTTCCCATCAGATTTCTTTCCTGCATTCCTTCTTCTTTCTGGAAAAAATTCCCCAAGAAATGGGCCACTTTCTCCAATTGTTTTGGATGCAGGCGCTATTAGGGGTTTTTTTTAATTACCAGCCCCTTAAGCAGAAAGCTGCCTGAATCTTTCAGACCTAGGTTTAGGTTTAAGAGAGGATCTTCACTCCTCTACCGATCACAGCTTTGGGCTCCCCCTCCACGGTACCAGGGGTAGAATTTCAGAGCCTCAGAGCCCCGTCTCAGTTCAGGCGCTGGTTCTCAAGGAAGGGAAGGGTAGCCCAGCTCAGGTGCTTGGGGGGCCTGCAAAGCCAGGCCTGGAAACCAGGCGTTCTGCCTCAAGCGGTCTCTATCCACTTTCTCACTATCTCCAGCATAAGGAGGGAGTGCGTGGGGAGGGACTTCTGGGAGAGGGCACATTTCCCTAGAACTGACTTTCAGCCCTGGGGGGTGGAAGCAAGTGGAGAGGGGTGCTGGAGATCACTCCCAAACCCCTCTCTTTACCCCTCCAGGAGTAGGGGCACCAGAAGCCACAGCGGCCAAAGCAGCAGCCAAAGCTGCCCAGTTTGGTAAGTCCCCCCGCCATTCTACCCCACCCCTGGGCCCTAGAGCGCTGCTCTTGTGTCCCCTGTCATGGGGGCTGGCAGCCTAGGCCCCCTTGCTTTCCCATTCTGACCGTGGGCCTTGCTCACAGCTTTTGCGCCACCAGATCACCTTTGGGGGCATAGGTGCAGTTTCAGATTAGGAAAGCAAAGCAAGAACAGGCCCTGGAAGCCCTCCAGCCCCTGCCACCTCCCCGGCCAGCCCACCCCCGGGCCTTCTGCTGGGCTTCTCTGGGCTCCAGTCCCCCAATAGCCACTGCAGTACTTCTTGCTCTCGGATGAAGCTTCTCATCTCTGGCTTCACCTGAGGGCCACCCTCGCAGCTCCAGGCACCCACAGGTTCCTGAATATGATGCATCGCAGCACCCTACCCAACTGTATGCTTGGCCCTGGGCCAAGGGGGTGCATGCCTTATATTTAGAGGCCTAGGGCAGCAAGGTTCAGGTTGGAATCTCTAGGGCTGTCTAGCCAGAGAACTTCTTCAGCTCATGTCTGCTGACTCCCAAACTCATATATGAGAAACAACCCCTTTTGATAAAACTACCATTTGCTGAGGTAACCCTTGCAACAAGCTTATGAAGCTGGTGTTATTATTCCCATTTTACAGATGTAGAAATCGAGGTTTCAAGAGCTTAAGTAACTTGCCCACAGTCACACAGCTAAAGAGTGGCTGAGCTGAGAGTTGAACCCAGGTCTGACTCTCTTCAAAGCTCCCTTTACTACATTACTCTGCCTCCATCATCTTCCAAAAAGTCTCCAAGTGGTCCTTCTCCGTCAAAATGTTAAGAACTCCTGAACCTACACATATCTCATATGAAGGATAAGGAAACTGAGGCCCATCAAGGAAACGTAACTTGTTCAAGGTCACTCAGCAAGTCTGTGCCAGGGCTGGGCCAAGAACCCAAGGTCCTGACTCCCAGTCCAGTGCTCTTTCCACGGGCTTCTGTCCTCTGTGGTCTGGACTTGGTTCAGAATTAGCTCTTCTCACTCTCTGTAGGCTTAGTCCCCAGCGTTGGCTTGGGTCCTGGAGTGGTTCCTGGCATTGGTGTTGGTCCTGGTGGTGTTGCAGGTGAGCAACATGAGTAAGTGGGCCTGAGGCACCCTGAATCCTCCGTGGACACCATCCCTGAACCTTCTCTCTCTCCCTCCAGGAGCAGGGATACCGGCTGCAGCCAAAGCTGCCGCTAAGGCAGCCGCCAAAGCCCAGTACCGTGAGTGCCCCCCAGCTTCCTCTCCTTGCCCCACTGAGCCGGGGCTGGCCCCATGCTGCCCAGGCTTGAGCTGGCCCAGGACTTGCAGCCTCATACCCACCCCGCAGCCACACTAGATACCACAGGCAGCAGGAGGAGGGGTTGGGAGCACAGACTTGGCTTAAGGCAGACGTATGTTCAGTCCTGGGTCCCATACTAGCTGAGCAACCCCTGACCCCGCTCCTGGTGTGTAAAGTCAGCACACAGACTGTACCTACTGCATAAGGCTTTTGGGGAATGAAATGTGCTCCTTCAAGAGGGACAAGCAGGAGATTAGGCTGGGAGAATGGGGTCCCCGGTATGCGGCCCTGAATGCCAGCCTGGGAGGGGGCTGAACTTGGTGGTCAGTGGGAGCTCTAGGAAGACAGTTCTGGTGGCTGCACAGTGGATAGGTTACGGGGAGCAAGTCTACAGACAGCAGGGAGACCAGAGAGCAGGCCTCTGCACCACCTGGGCCCCTTACCCTGGGGCCTGACTCTGCTCACTGGGTAGGACATCCCGGCCTGCTGCCGCCACCCACTGCTCATCTCTCTGCAGGGGCTGCAGCTGGACTTGGCGTTGGCGTGCCCGGGTTTGGAGCTGGCGCTGTTGTGCCCGGGTTTGGAGTTGGCGCAGGTGAGGGGCAGTAAGTGGTTGGGAGACACCTCCTCCTCTCGGCATATCCCCAGCATCCCACTCCTGCCCAACTCGGCTCACCACTCGGGGGTGCCAAGTGACTAGTCCATTCCCTATGAAGTCCCCCTGAGCAGTCAGAGACGGGCCAGGCAAGGGGCCCAGGCTACCAGATTGCAGCGTTTCTGTCTCCGCAGTGGAAGGTGGCAGGGCTCCAGACTGTGAAAAAGCCTAACTACCCAGAGCAGGGGACTGCAGATCCCTGGGTTCTGTGGTCACAGGGTGGGCCAGCCTGGCTCCCTTTTAGCAGCGCTTTGTGGGCAAGGGGGCCACTAAGAGCCCCAGTTCTTCACAAAGTGGTTACTAAGCCCACTTCCATGTCCAGAGGGGCTGGAGGGGGAGGATAGAAAGGGAGAGATGGAAGGGCAGATACAGTTCAGCCTGCAAGCACCCCCAGACTAGACTGGCAGGAACATAGTTAGATCCTAGAGCTCTGCACCTGGCAGGGTGAGCTGCTGGCTGGGGAGCCACGGCTTCAGGGCTTAAGAGGAAGTCAGGGAGGGCTCCCTGGAGGTGGCATAGCCCCCAGGCACAGAGCTCAGCTGCTGACCACCCCCTACCTTTCTCCCCAGTACCTGGACCCCTGGCCGCAGCCAAAGCAGCCAAGTATGGTAAGTGCACACCATCTCTCCTCCCTACCCCAACCCCCAGTGCTCTTGCTGCTCCATCATCCCTGGCAGCACCTGGGCACCCACCCCCTCCCACCCCGAGCAGACCCAGTGCCCAGAGCCTGCAGCCCAGCCTGGGATGGTCAGGCTGCAAAAAGGCAGTTCCTATGACACATTAATGAGGCCTTAGCAGACCTGGCCCCGGCCCGCTAAATGCCTATCCTGCCTCCAGCCATTGCCACAAACCCTCACATTTCCAACCCCTCTCCCCGACTGGCTCTCCAAGGTCCCTCTGTTCCTGATGGTTTCAATGGACCGGGAGGTCCAGGGAGGGGCCAGGCCTGCTGTTGGTGTGAGGAGGCCGGCAACCCTCGCCTCTTTGCCAGCACCTTGACCAAACAGAGGAGTCGGTCCTCCCACCAGGGCCACAGGCCCCTCCCTGTCCACACAGCTGGGCCCGCCACGAGCGAGTGAGTGAGCAAGCAAGCACCGAGGACGTGGCAGAACTGCCTGCCTCTCCACTTGGCACGCTGGCAGCCACGAAGTCCAGAGTCCGTCCTCTCTGGCAGCTCAGGCTGGCCAGACCCACACTGTCTGTGGCCACGGCATACCCAGCCTCCTGGGAGCCAGGTTGGGGTCTCCGCCAGGGAACCACCAACCTGCCTCGGCCCATCCACTCAGAGCCAGATTCCCCCTTGGAAAATCCAAGCTACCCCCCACCCGCCTTAGCCTCCTCTGTCTGTTGCCAGCTGCTGTGTCAGCTAGAGTCTGACAGACATGCCAGGAAATCAAGTGGTGTCCTGTAGCAGGCAGAGACAGCGCAGGCTCAGGAGCCAGGCTGCCTGGGTCCAATCCCAGCACCGCACACACAACCTTGAGCACATCGCTTAATCTCTACTGTGCCTCAATTTTCTCATCTGCAAAATGGATATTTGTAACAGTAGCAACCTTTCCAGTTGCAGTGACTAGTAAGTGTTAAGTACTTAGAGCTGTGGCTGGCTGGGCGCATGCTCCACGGAGCGGTAGCTGTAAAGACTGATTTCCAGCGGCCGCACGTGGCGATTCAGACTTCGAGCAAGGTGCACAGGTGGTGTGTCCTTTTCCTCGGCAAACATGTAGGAAGGTGAGCAGAGTAAGGACCATCATCCCCTTTGGGGAGATGGGGAAAGTGGGGTCCAGAGAGGCCTCAGCTATAATGAGTGGAGAAACCAGGATTTGAACCTAGGGCTGTCAGAACCTGACATCCTCGGCAGCACCAGCCTCCACTGTTCTCCACCTGTCCCTCTCAGCACCAGGCTTGGGCAAAGGAGGGGGCTGCAGTCCTGTGTCACAGGTGGAAGGCAAGGCCCCAGGGTCATGCCCTTGCCCATCTGGTAGGGCAGAGCCAGCACTCAGACCCAGGTGTCTGGAAATGGACTTCTGGTTCACTGCTCCTTCCACTAGTCACGTGACCTCTGCCACTTGTCTGCTTGCCTCTTTCTCTGGGGCAGGGACACCCGGTCCTTCAGAAATAGGGGCTGATGTTTCCATCCTCTCTCCACAGGCGCAAGAGGGATCGGGGCCCTTGGAGGGGTTGGGGATCTTGCCGGAGTAGGTGTCCCAGGTGGAGTGCCAGGTGAGCTGAAACCCCACGATGGGCTGGGTGGGGAGACTGACCCCTGGAAGGTCCTTCCCTGAACCTCCTCTGTGTCCCTAGGAGCCGATACCGCTGCCCTAGCTGCTGCTGCCAAAGCCGCAGCCAAAGCTGCCCCGTATGGTGAGTGCTGGCCTGGTGTGTGGCTACCACCAGGCCCCCAAGGAGGGGGGCCACTGACCACATACCTGGAGCATGTGTTCCCTGACCTGCCCCTGGAGACCCAGTTCCCAGCCCATCTCTCTGCCCCACTGCTACCCACCAAGTCCTCTGGGAGCTCAGACTCGACCAGGGTCCTGTGATGAGGACTCACCCCTCCACAGGACAGCCTCTCTGGCCCCACTGTGTGGACCATTGTGGTTTGATGCACAGCTCTCTCCGCAGGCCTCGGGGGAGTCGGTGGGCTCGGAGTGGGAGCACTGGGGGTTGGTGGACTCATCCCAGGAGCTGTGGGCTTTGGAGGTGAGGGGCTGCTCTAGAATCAGTGAGTGCATGGGGGTGTGTGTGTGTGTGTGTGTGTGTGTGTGTGTGTGTGTGT